GCATCAGATCCCCTGGGACTGAGTTAGAGACGGACAGGTATGCGCCTCCATGTGAGTGCTAGGAACTGAACCCGGGTCCTCTGCAAGACCACACAGTGCTCTTAACTACTGAGCCTTCTCCCGGGTCCCAGCAGTTTTTTAAATTAGAAATAAAAAATTGAAAAGAAAGCAAACTTTTTGGAATTTGAGTGAAATTGTTTAATAAAAGTAAATGCTTTATACCATTTTTTTAGAGGGGGGACAGACGTAGGGGTTTGAGACAGCAGTTTCTCTGTGTTGCCCTGGCTACACTGGAGCTCACTCTGTAGGTCAGGGTGGCCTGAAATGCAGGGATCCTCCTTTCTCTGCCTCCTTAGTGCTTGGATTGAAGCAATGTGCTACCACACCCAGCTGCTTTACACAAGTGTAATGCAAAACTTAACCTTAAAGAGATAAGCTAGAAGTCTTTCAGGAACTTAGATCCTCCTTCACTCCCCACTGTCTGGGTAAAATCATCTTTATCCAGTAGATAATAAAGTTGTATCATAAATACTAACATTGCTTAAACTAGAATTGCAGGTCTGCCTGGAGACTGTAGGGTAGCTCTGAGAACTGCCTGCGCCCTGTTCAGCATCTCCCAGTAGGCTGGGAAGACAGGAGGATGTGACACAGAGGCAGTAGGGTTTACATCCGCCATTTGGACACAGTGCTTGTTCTCCAGCACAGCGTGACGCCTTCTGTGGAGCGTCAGACACTTCCTGACTTCATGCTGAGTGAAGTGGCTGGTCTAGGGAAGAAACCCTCTCCAGGTGTATTTGGCCTTTGGGGACAGCTGTGCCTTCCGTTGCTGGTCTCAGTCCTGTATACAGTGACCGATGTATTGAATGAAAGAATGTGCATCCATGTGCTCTAGAGGCTGTCCTAATCAGTGTAGCGCTTGTTTAGGTGCATGTAAAATACGGATTTTAACTAATCGAATGTATGGAGTTGACTTTAGTTAGTGGCCGAATCACTGGTTTTCATTTTAGATAAGAAAGGGTCTTGGAATGTTTTGACCGTCATTTGGCTCTTACTTGGAAGGAAGCTTAAAATTACCTAGTTAGATTTACTTCCTGGTGCTCAAATAAACATCGCCACCATTGCAACTGCAGCCAGTATTGTTTCCGTTAACGTCACATGGCAAACCCCACATTTTACACATTGGCTGTGGGATTCCTTGTGTCTGTTATTTGAGTCGTTATTCCCACCTTAATCCTGGGGCGAATGATCGTAAACAGATTGCAGGCTGGGCGAACAGGACGGGGACCCAGCTCTGTGCCCTGCCTCACTGGTTTCTTCCCCACTGTGTGTGGGCATCACTAGGTTCCGCTCAGGTTTGTTTCAGTTTCCAACAACTGTTAGTTCTAGAAAGTCTTTTTTTAGACTTTTGGCCCTCTGCTTCTTTCTCTTTTTCATTAAACGTTTCTGTGAATCATACAGTAGGGTGACTAGTGACCTCCAAATCTCACCCTACTTAAAGTGGGCTTGGGTCAGTGTTTTTGTGTACTTTTTAACCTTTTGCATTCAGTTGTATTATTGTGTAGATTTGTTGTATAGAACTCTAATTGTAAAAATTTTGTTTGTGCACCTTCATTTTCTGCCTTCACATACCAATATATTTATCTTTAAGATTTACTTAATTTTATGAGTATGAGTGTGTTGCCCACATGTATGTCTGTGTAGCACATGCGTTCCTGATGCTCTTGGAGGACAGAAGAGGGCATTGGATCCCATGGAACTGGAGTTACGGATGGTTGGGAGTCACCATGTAGGTGCTGGGAATTGAACCTAGGTCTTCTAATAAGAGTGACAAGTGCCCTTAATTGCTAGACCATCTCTCCAGGCTTTTTTATCAATATATTCTAAAGGCTAGTAGATTAACTTTAGTGTAGTTAACCCTCAGGAGTAACATGAATGATGTCTTTGAACATCCATTGCTTTTATATTTAGGCATATCCTCTCTCAGTTTAGCTGTAGACACTCAAGATGCAGGTTTGAATTTTATTACCTTCTGGAAACACTTGATTTGGCTTCCAGGAGACACAGTGGCTTCTCCACTCCACAGGCCCCATCTCTTCCTAGGGAATTCTGTGGACATTTAGGTAGAGAAATAGGGAGGTAGCATGAGCCTGTGTGTAGCAGGAGAGCATGGAATGACAGGGTGTGTGACCTAGAATTGATCTGTGAGGACAGATAGAAGCAAGGAGAGACGAACGTACTCAGTACTCTCTTGATAACTACTGCCGAGATAGAAAAGCCTTAATAGTACTACATTTTGGCAGAAGGTGGCTCACACCTTTAGTCTAGCACTCTGAAGGGAGAAGTAAGAATATCTGTGAGTTCAAGGCCAGACTGGTCTACAGAGCAAGTGCCAGAACAGCCAAGGCTGAATAGAGAGAGTCTGTCTTTAAGAAAAAGAAAGAAAGAAAAGAATGAACATTTTAGTTCACTGAACAGCTTGTTATGGTTGTCTTTTGTTTTTTCAGTAAACAGTATAGGAAATGTAGGGTATTTCTAATAGAGAGTAGATTATAAAGTTTTATGTATACAGATTAAAATTTGAGACTAAAGTCAGAAACTGCATTTTTTATTTATTTTTTATTTATGGTTTTTCGAGACAGGGTTTCTCTGTGAAGCAGTCCTGGCTGTCCTGGAACTCAATCTGTAGACCAGGCAGGCCTCAAAATCACAGGGATCCGCCTGCCACTGCCTCTGCCTCCTGAGTGCTGGGATTAAAGATGTGCGCCACCACTGCCCGGCAGAAAACTGTCTTTTTTTATACCTCTTTAAAATACACATATACACACACAAACACACACACACACACTAAAACAAAGAACAGGGTCTCTCTCTCTCTCTCTCTCTCTCTCTCTCTCTCTCTCTCTCTCTCTCTCTCTCTCTCTCTCTCTCCCTGACTAACCTGGAACTCTCTGTGTAACCTAGGCTGGCCTTGAACTCAAAATCCTCCTGCCTCAGCCTTTGATTAGTGGTATATGTTGTGTCCACCTTTAAGCTGGATTTTAGTTTTGTAAAGTAATAGCACCTCTAAGATTTTAATGTTTCCCTCTCCTACCCCAAGGTAACTCACTACATTAATAATTACACTGCCCATCAATGTTATAGGAACAGGTTACAGAGAGGTCTACATACTATGATACCATCTGAGTTAGAAAAACATAAAAGCCAAAATAGATGGCAGGCATATTAGTACTCAGTATTACAAAGCATGTGTGAGCCTAGACAGATGTGAAGGTTATATGACCCAGAATGCTTAGATGATCACCTGAGAAGAGCAGTGTCATTCAAGGTGTGTTTTTACTCTGTTTAAACTCCTACAATGAGCATGTGTTACTTTTAGTGTCTTGTTTGTTGTTTTGGTTTTTCAAGACAGGGTTTCTGTGTGTAGTTTTGGTGCCTGTCCTGGATCTTGCTATGTAGACCAGGCTGGTCTCAAATTCATAGAGATCTGCCTGGATCTGCTGGGATTAAAGGCGTGCGCCACCACCGCCCGGCTTTTTTTTTTTTTTTTTTTTTTTTTTTTTTAATGTTCATTGGTGTTTTGCCTGCATGTGTATCTGTGTGAAGGTGTCAGGTCCCCTGGAACTGGAGTTAGTTACAAATGGTTGTTACCTGCCATGTAGGAACTGTGAATCATTTATGGGTCCTCTGTAGGAATGCTCTTAACCATTAAGCCATTTTCCAGGCCTAATAAATTTTTTTCTGTGGAAAGTTTCAAGCAAATAACAAAATGAGACTCTATGGCCCTGCTTCAATAGTTAACATGGCCGGTTTTATATTATCTGTAGCTTTCATCCCCTCCTCATTGGTTTTGAAGGTTATCTCAAATGTGTAATTTCATCTGTAAATACATCAGTACGTTCATCTAAAGGATGTGGTGGTTCACACGTGTAATTCTGTATTCAGGAGTCTGAAGTAGGATTCTGAGTCTGAGGTTAGACTGGGCTACATAGAGAGAATTCCAGGCTCTCGAAACTAGATGGTAGAACCCTATTTCAAAAACCCAAAGTAGAGGGCTAGAGAGATGGCTCAACAGTTAAACACTTAGTGCTCTTGCAGATGACTCTGGTTGGCTTCCCAGCATTCACAGGTACTTCATCTACCTGTAACTCCAGTTCCAGGGAATCTAATGCCCTCTCTGACCTCCACAGGCTCCACAGGCATGTATGCAGTCCACATACATATACACATAAAATGATTTTTTAAACCCCAAAGTAAATTTGAAAAAGGAAAGAGCAACAACTCCTTAATATCAAATCATTCAAAAGGCTGTTGATGCTCTGCACTCAAATTAGTAACTTTTAGTTTAAGTTGCTGCTTTATTTACGTTTGTTGTTTGTGTCGTCATGTATGTGTTTTCCCTCTAGGATGAAGAGTATTTGTGTGTATATGTTCATTTGTGTACAGAGGCTTGTGTGTTTGTGTGCATGTGGAGACCAGAGGTCAACCTCGGGCGGGCATTGTTCCTCGGCTGCTGTCCGCTTTGTTTTGAGACAGGGTTTCTCGTTGACTTGGGATTTCACAAGTAGGCTAGCTGGCTGGCTCACCACAAGTCTCACGGGTGTAGACATGGGCACCCCGTGCCCAGCTTTTTAATGATAGGGTTTCTGGGGGTCCTCATGCTCCCTTATATGTCTGTTTGTTTGTATACAAGGTCTCACTGGGTAGCCTTGGCTGGCATGGAACTTACTGTGTAGACTAGGCTGGTCTGGAGTTCATAGAGATCTGCCTGTCTCTGCCTCGTTTTTTAACTTGAAAAATATTAAGATTTTTGCTTTTGGTGCCTTTTGTTCAATATGAGAAAACAATAAATGGCTAGATATTTTCATCTTCAAACTTAAAAAGATTTAGGCATGTTACAGGCTTTTGCTTCATTAGCATAGAAAACTGTGCTTTGATGCTGAGAGTGTCCTTTTTTAAAGTGACTTTCTCATACCTGACTGTCATATTTTTGTTCTCCATAGGTCTAATTACAGACGATGGCGAGGCCCAGTCACAGCAGCTACGTCCTCCAGCAGCTGAACAACCAAAGAGAGTGGGGTTTCCTCTGTGACTGCTGCATTGCCATCGACGACATCTACTTCCAAGCGCACAAGGCCGTCTTGGCTGCCTGTAGCTCCTATTTTAGAATGTTTTTCATGAACCATCAGCACAGTACCGCACAACTGAATCTCAGCAACATGAAAATAAGCGCCGAGTGCTTTGATCTCATCCTGCAGTTCATGTATTTGGGAAAGATTATGACCGCTCCTTCCAGTTTCGAGCAGTTCAAAGTGGCAATGAACCACCTGCAGCTGTACAATGTCCCTGACTGCTTAGAAGACATACAGGACGCAGACTGCTCTAGTTCCAAATGCTCGTCCTCGGCTTCCAGCAAGCAGAACAGCAAGATGATTTTTGGGGTAAGAATGTATGAAGACACCGTGGCTAGAAATGGCAGCGAAGCCAACAGGTGGTGTGCCGAGCCCAGTTCAACAGTGAACACACCACACAATAGAGAGCCCGAGGAGGAGCCGTTACAGTTAGCTCACTTTCCTGAGCCACTGTTGGATGTGTGTAAAAAAAGTTCCGTGTCCAAACTATCGACTCCCAAAGAACGTGTGTCCCGGCGCTTTGGACGGAGTTTTACCTGTGATAGCTGTGGATTTGGCTTCAGCTGTGAAAAATTACTAGATGAACATGTGCTGACCTGTACTAACAGACATTCATACCAAAACACAACAAGAGCTTACCACCGAATAGTGGATATTAGAGATGGAAAAGAGAGTAACATCAAAGCTGAACTCGGTGAAAAGGATTCTTCTAAAACATTTTCTGCACAGACAGACAAATACAGAGAAGACGCCAGCCAGGCGCCTGATGATTCAGCTTCGACCACTGGAAGCAGAAAGGGCACAGCGGAGCCTGGACTGGCTGGGGAAGAAAAGGGTAGAGCTGCTGAGACGAAAAGAATTATCATCAAGATGGAACCAGAAGATATTCCTACGGATGAGATGAAAGACTTCAACATTATCAAAGTTGCTGATAAGGACTGCAATGAGTCCACTGACAATGACGAGTTAGAGGATGAGCCGGAAGAGCCATTTTATAGGTACTATGTTGAGGAAGATGTCGGCATTAAAAAGAGTGGTCGGAAAACCCTGAAGCCTCGCATGTCCATCAGTGTGGATGAAAGAAGCGGTATAGAGAGCGTGAGACCCCCTCACAACAGCAGTCCAGTGCAGGAGGATGCAGAGAGTGCGTCCTGCGAGCTGTGTGGACTCACCATAACCGAGGAGGACCTGTCATCTCACTACTTAGCCAAACACATCGAAAACATCTGCGCGTGCGGGAAATGTGGGCAAATACTGGTCAAGGGCAGACAGCTTCAGGAACACGCGCAGAGGTGTGGAGAACCTCAGGATCTGACGATGAATGGGCTAGGAAATGCTGACGAGAAGATGGACATGGAAGAGAACCCTGATGAGCAGTCTGAGATAAGAGACATGTTTGTTGAAATGCTAGATGATTTCAGGGACAATCATTACCAAATAAACAGTCTCCAGAAAAAGCAGTTATTTAAACATTCCGCTTGTCCTTTTCGGTGTCCCAATTGTGGCCAGCGTTTTGAAACTGAAAATTTAGTGGTCGAGCATATGTCAAGCTGCCTAGACCAGGATATGTTTAAGAGTGCCATCATGGAAGAAAATGAGAGAGATCACAGACGAAAACACTTCTGTAACCTCTGTGGGAAAGGCTTTTATCAGCGCTGTCATTTGAGAGAACACTATACTGTTCATACTAAGGAAAAGCAGTTTGTTTGTCAGACATGTGGGAAGCAGTTCCTAAGGGAGCGGCAGTTGCGTCTGCACAATGATATGCACAAAGGCATGGCCAGGTATGTCTGTTCCATTTGTGATCAAGGAAACTTCCGAAAACATGACCATGTACGGCATATGATTTCTCATCTTTCTGCTGGTGAGACGATATGCCAGGTCTGCTTTCAGATATTCCCCAATAATGAACAGTTGGAGCAGCATATGGATGTTCATCTGTATACGTGTGGAATATGTGGAGCAAAGTTTAATTTGAGGAAAGATATGAGATCACATTATAATGCCAAGCATTTGAAAAGAACCTGAGGGGCTTTCTGCGGTATGAATGTTTAGTTGATAGGCAGAACACCAAAGCAAAAGGATATGAGCTATTTAGACACTGATTTTATAAGGAGTGTTGGGAAATTTTTTCCAAGGCCCTTTACTTTAACATTTTTGTTTAGGACCTTAAGTATATTTTAGGCATTAAATGTTTATCACTTTTGATGTTTCTAAGAGCATTCTTTGTTCCTAGTTTTCTTAACTACCATTAAAAGTACTTTTCAATGTAGACTCAGTGCTGGCATCCCTTCAATGACTATTAACTAGTTGGTTTTTTTTTTTTTTTAATCAATAAGGTAATGATTTCACTATTTCTCTGTACTTTCTTCATTTTAAGGTTATCCCATGAAATTTTAAACCCGAGATCATTGACCATTCCTGCTTAAATTTTTTAAAGAATTTTTAAAGAATTATTTAAAACTATCTTATTCTTTTTTGGTTTTGCTTTTTGGGCTTTTTTGTTTTTGGTTTTATTTTTTTGCTGTTTGTCAGTTGTAAAGTGGGGTGGCTGCTGTTCATTCTCCCTTATCAATGAAATCCATATTCTTAAATTGACAGCCTTAGGCAAGTGAGGTGCACTGAATCTAACCTTTAAGGTGGACATGGGCTCAATCTTGGCCTAAGATTGATGGACCTAAGGAAATTCCTATAAATGAACATTTCCTATAATTGATAAAATGTTATCATTTAATAATCACATTTAAAACTTATATTAAGTGTAAATCCCAATGACTTTCCCTCACTTGAGAAATTAGTGGGGATAAGCCATTTTGTTTTGTGATACTGAATTTAACTATGATAGTTAATTAAAAAGACATCTTGTATTCATTAAAATATTTTAATTTAAAAATATTCTGATTTCTAAAGTGTGTTAGTTTATCAATTATTTTGTTTATAAATAGACTTTAATAGCTCTTTAGGAATATGACATCTAAGGAAAAATGATTTTTCACTTTTAAAATTACTTTGGAACTGAGATTTGAAAAAGCTGCCATGTATATTGATAAATCTAATAAAATAAAGAAATCGATTATAAATCTGGTTGTTCTATAAAAGTAGAGTGCACAAAAGTGTGTCGTGTTTTACACTAAGATTTGGAGGAAGTGTGTTGTGGAAAATTGCTATGCTTTATATATCATTTTCTGTAAAAGATACAAGATTTGAGGACTATAACATAATCCCAGCATATAAATGGAAAGAGCTTCTACTTGTCAGGGAAAGTCATATTGTTAGTTGTCGACAGGGTCTATACTATATCAGTTACATGTGAACTAAAACACTGGCAAAACACCCACCAATAAACACATCTGCCGAATAGAATGCCTTTTAATGTGAATTACTTGGAACACCCTTCTTATATTGAAAGGGATTTTAGTTAACATCTATATTTAAGAGTATGGCTTTGATTCTGGGTGGTAGTTTAAAAGCATTGCTCTTTCTTGCTCTCCATATTTTTAAGATATGCAAATCATATTCTCACATGCTATTTGCATAAAGGCACAGGTTGCCACCCGACCTGAGAGACATGTTGGCTAGTACAGGGTTAGTGGACAGTACTGGATAGAGCACGGTGTGAACACAGACAGATCAGTGGGCATGTGTTGAAATGTTAGTGAGGACAGGGCAGTGTGGGCAGGAGCCAAGAGAGTTCAAACCCGATCCTGAGAAAAGGCGCAAAAACAGTGAGGTCTGGGGAAGTTTTTCAAGGCCACATTGTTAACAGAAAAAGCTGAGGAAGTCATTCATATTAAATTGTCTTAGATATAATAGTTTAACAAGTACTTAAAACTAAAAAGAAAATATAAGATGTGTATGTAGATTACTAGTAAGCACCTGAGAAATGTTCTCTAACAAAGTCAGAAAGAGAAGACAAAAACCAAACGAAGTGCTCAAGTTATACAGTATCTGAGGGGACCTCATTTTTTTGAGGGGTCACTTTTCTGTTGCAAAGGCTTTCCCATAGCTAAAGGCATTTTTAAAAATATTTACCCTCTTTGAAGAAGGAATCCTCTTTTAATGAGGAAGAGAGGTTTGATTTAGTGGTTTTAGTGTGTGCTAATGACTAACAAATTAGCCAGCAGACGTAATCTGACTTTACCCAACCATGACAGTTTCCAAAGGCATGTTTGATGGTGTTTTCTGTTTCATTTTATATAGTATGCATGGTTTGGGGGAATTTAGCTACAGGGTAGCACAGGCTTCTCCAGAGAGAATGTACAATCAATTGTCTTTAACAAGACAGGGTTCAGGTAAAAGTTACTTAGCTTGGGCTGGAGAGATGGCTCAGAGGTTAAGAGCACTGGCTGCTCTTCCAGAGGTCCTGAGTTCGAGTCCCAGCAACCACATGGTGGCTCACAATAATGAGATCTGATGCCCTCTTCTGACATGCAGACAAAACACTGTCTACATAATAAATAAATCCTAAAGGAAAAAGGAAGAAAACAGACAAAAAAGTTACTTAGCTTGTAAAATTAAGGGGGATGAAAGACATCCATCACTCCTCTGCCTCTGCTCCCGCTCGCCTTCCTTGGGCTGTGAGGACAATGGCTCAGGCTGGAATAGTTGCCTGCTGCTTCTGTCTTTGATAGCTCATACCTTCAGGATCGAGGTTTTTTCCAGATCTGGAGAGGAAAAGAGAAACCAGAGAAGAGTAGCATCTTTTCCCTCTATTAATGACACTTTTCATTTGAAGTCCCATTTCTGGGATTTCTTGAAAAACAGTAGTCCAATTGGATTTTTTTCTCTGGCACTCCAGATCAAACCCAGCGCCTCGACGTGCTAGGCAGCCATTATGCCCCTGAACTGTGTATTAAGTTTCCCTTTCATCAGTGAGAAAATAATCCATTTCTAACATGGTTGATGCTCCAACATGGATCTGTAATTTGTCATAAAGACTGGACCTTAGAACTTAATAAAGTAGAACCAAGGCAGTAAAAGTCTAGCACTCAACTGGTTTTAACCCCTCTTTCCTTCATTTTTCTCCCTTGTAGCCCAGGCTGGCCTGTCATTCACTGCCTAACCCAGGCTTGCCTCATGATCATGCTGATCCTGTTTCAGCCTCCCAGGTTCAAGAGTTACCAGATGGGCTGGGCGGTGGTGGCTCACACCTTTAATCCCAGTACTCAGGAGGCAGAGGCAGGCGAATCTCTGTGAGTTCGAGGCCAGCCTGGTCTCCAAAGCGAGTTCCAGGAAAGGCGCAAAGCTACACAGAGAAACCCTGTCTCAAAAAACCAAAAAAAAAAAAAAAAAGAGTTACCAGATGGGAACTAAAGCGATCAGCTTCTCGTGTCCTTTCAGGTTCTTTCCGTTTTTCAGTCAGGGTCTTGCTTTGTAACCCAGGGGTTGGAATGGAAGTCTCCACTCCTCTAGTGCTCTTAGGGAGTATTGGGATTATTGCATAATGCTCCACCATATGCAGCTAATTTCCCATATTTTTTTAAAGTGAAATTTTTCAGAGAAATGACCCACATGGGTAACAGCAAATGTGTAATTAATATAAAGTAATGAACAATTTGACTTTAAGCAAAATAGTAGGTCAGAAGGATTCCAGAGGGTACTCTTAAAAGAATTAAGCTGAGTATGATAGTTTATGCCTGTAATCCCAGCATGCAAGAGGCTAGGCTCGGTTCAAGGCTACCCCTTGAGTTCAGGGCTACCCTGGTCTTTACATAGTAAGACCCCCGTCTCAGAAAAATGAAAAATACTGTTGAGGACAGCTTGCTAAGACAGAACAGCAGTGGGCTTGAAAATCCATGTTCTAGCTTGAAGCGAAAATAGGATGTAAAATGGTTGGAAGAGGAGGTGTAGGATTTCAAGTCTTGAGGCTAACCCAGCTGTACCTGTGAAATACCCAATGGGAGAGTGGTTCTAAGCATGGCAGGGATGTGCCCCCAGAGAGCCCGGGGGTGGTGGGTGGCGGTAACCTTCTCACTGGTTAAGCAATGTTCCTTTAGATCACTAATAAAGTTCTCTATTTACTAAAGCTCTGAAAAATCTTCCTACGAGCCAGTGTGATGTTGAAGAGAAAAACTGTCATTGTTAACAAAAATAGATAAATCAGGACGAAGAGAAAAGGACTTGAATATGTACATATAGCTGAAAAGCTCAAAATTGGACATAACCTAATTTGACTGGGTTTATCATTAACTTAAGGGCTGGATATGATGGCACATACTTGTAAACCCAGCATTCGGGAGGCTTAACCAGAAACAGCAAGAGTTTAAGGCCAACCTGGACTACATGATACCGGGTAACAAGTTGTTTAAAAAAAGCTCTCCCCCCACCCCCCATTGATCTGTTTTGATCAGTTCCTCAACTTTGCTCACCATCTTTTCCTATGTAAGTGCTTCCCAGTGATGAAATGCCAGTTCTCTACCGTTAACCAGGATTGCAGAGTAGCAGAAGGTGAGGG